GGCGGCTGTTCTCCCAAACAGTTGCAAGAGTCTGAATTTTAACTGACTATTGATTCTGACTACAGTAGCAAGCAGATTTGTTCATTTACAAGTAGCATAACATATCAGACCTTTCACAGTTTGGGATGCAAAACTGTATTGTAGACATTCCATTTTCTGTCTAATTAGTGCAGAGATATTAGAGAAGTGTTAAGACTGAAGTAAGCAAGCAAAAGTTTTGTTTTCAAATGTGTGATACATTTTTGGAAGCAGTTGTATTTTCTTTGAAGTCGACTTTATACTATTGAACATTTTGAAGTTTTAGATGAATATCTATATATTTAAAGTGAATATCTTTGTCTGTGCTACCTTCCCCAAATGTGACAACACAAAGGCAATATTGGCCATTATATAGCTTTAATAAGATATGCATTTCCAAATTGTTAAGACAATAAGGGGATGCTAATTTTCTGTGATGTTACAATATCACAGGGCAACAAGGACAACCATCTAGAATTTGGTTTTAGACAAGTTTGGGTCAAGTTTAATGGAACAAGAAAACAGTAGTGAACATTCAGTACTTCCTTTTTTTAAAGATTTAATTATTTATAGGATTTAATTATTATCTTACAGGGAGAGTGTGCATGAGTTGGGAGGAGGAGCAGAATGAGGGGGGAAAGGGACAAGCAGCTCCCTGATAATCACAGAGCCCGATGGGCTGGATCTCAGAACCCTGAGATGATGACCTGAGCCGAAATCAAGAGTCACATGCCTAACGAACTGAGGCATCCAGGCATCCTTTATTAGGGAGCACTTTCTTTGATCTGGCCAAGAAAATCATAGCCCTTTCTATGTAGTATATAAGAAATACATAGCACTTTCTTTGATTTGGCCAAGAAAACTTTAGGATTAGACAGAAATGAATTGGGATATGACCCGTATAAGCTATCCAGTGTAGACAGAGTCTTGTTCTCTTCCCTCTTCTGTGGGATGTTTAGTTGTAAAGATGAATTGAGGTAAAGATAAAATCTTCTGACATATATTAGGCACTTAGTAGATGCTACGTATTTTTGCTAAAGATAATAAAAGGTATATATGAAGAGAGGTGAAAATAGTTCTATATAGTAGTTTTGGGATACTTCTAAATAAACATCTTAGGTGGCATGTTAAACTGTTCATAAGAAATAGTGGAATTATTTAAAATGTAATATGTGACATGTAAAGCTTCAAAAAACAGTTTTTGAATGAATGTATTAACTATAGTGTTCTTGTGATTCAAAATTATTTTCTTTTCAGGAAAGGCTTTTTAAACAACCTTATATATTTTTTGACTTAATAGTAGAATAAAACTCAAAAGCATCCACGTGATCTACATGTAAGAAAGGAACAAATACAGCGAAGGTCTGACCTCTAAGAATTGACAGTATATTCACAAATTTATATTTCTGTTTAATTTTTTAATGCCAAAGTTTTTTTTGTTTTTGTTTTTTATTTTGTTTCTGTTTCTGGTTTTTTTTGTTGTTTTGTTTTTTTAAAGAGTCTTGTTACCTTGATATTCAAGAACTAAAGAGTTGTAAATGCTTGGGGTGCCTGGGTGCCTCAGTCAGTTGGCGTTTTCCTTTAGCTCAGGTCAGGATCTCAGGGTCCTATGATCAAGCCCCACCTCCGGCTCCCTGCTCAGCCAGGAACCTGCTTCTCCCTCTGCCTCTGCCCCCCCTCTACTTATGCTCTCTCTAAAACAAACAAACAAGTAAATAAACTTTTAAAAAATAAAAGAGTTTTAGCTGCTTTAAATTCAAGTTATGAGTTTTCAGTAGGCAAATACTATTCCAAGTTATCACCTAACACCAGCCTTCAATATTTACTTAAGTTGTTAGTCAAAGCAATAGAAGTCTACATTGAGATGCAAGGAGCTTAATATAATTTTTCATCTTTCATTTTATCTCCACAATCAGACAATATAGAACTTTGTTTATGTGATGTTCCCCTCCATTAAGGCTCATTAATAGTCCCGATGGTTCTTTGTAGCTCTTAGAGATGACCTACTCACCTCTCAGGTAGGGAAAAGTAAGAGGGTCAAGTGCACAGTGGGATCTTGGTTTTCTTACTGAAGTTCAAGGCACTTGTATGTTTCACTTTTTAGCTGAGACAGTTATTTGACTGAGTCTTGTGGAATATAAGTAAGAAAAACAGCAACAATAACAACAAAACCTCAAGAAACAGAGATGTTTCTCTTTTCCTCTGGCTGGTTGTCTCATGTCACCAAAAATTGTACTGACCTTCTCGGAAGAGCATGCACCATATCCAGTAAAATGCAATAGTGAAGATTTGCAACCCCTGCAACTTGAGAAAGGGATGGATTTTATTTATTTAGATGTGACTGTTTAAATTCCTAAAGGAAATAATTGGGTTATTTTTAATAGTTTTAATGTCTAAATTCATTTGGCATATTAAAATATATTTTTTACCCACATTTGAATATTAGTAATTGTTCTAACAATAACACACATAGACAGAAAATCAATAAACAATTAAAAAGCATTATCCATATAACATTTTAATATAAATTATCTGAATTAAAAATAGATAATTATATTTATTTAACTGATACAATTAACATATAATAATTGCTTTTTACAGAGGAGCTTTCAGGCTTTATAAAAAGGTGCTCATGTAGGAAACACACAAACAAGATTTTTGTAATTTGAAGTATCATCAAGAATGAATCTTGGGGCGCCTGGGTGGCTCAGTGGGTTAAGGCCTCTGCCTTCAGCTCAGGTCATGATCCCAGGGTCCTGGGATCAAGCCCCGCATAGGGCTTTCTGCTCAGCAGGGAGCCTGCTTCCCTTCCTCTCTCTGCCTGCCTCTCTGCCTATTTGTGATCTGTCTGTCAAATAAATAAATAAAATCTTTTTAAAAAAGAGAATGAATCTAATTGGGGCACCTGGGTTGCTCAGTGGGTTAAACCTCTGCCTTCACCTCAGGTCATTATCTCAGGGTCCTGGGATCAAGCCCACATCGGGCTCTCTGCACACTGGTGAACCTGCTTCCCCCCATCCCCGTGCCTCTGCCTGCCTCTCTGCCTTTTCTGTCTTCTCTGCTCTCTCTCTCTGTCAAATAAATAAAATCTCAAAAAAAAGAATGAATCTAATTGTATAACAATTGTAAAATATGTGATTTCTTTTATACTCATTGCAAGATTAACTACAGGTGAGTGTGGGAAATAGAAAAATACTAACTCATTAGATTAGTTCCCTCTTCCTACCCCTTAGTGATACAGTAGATTAGGGGAAGCTTCTGTACAAACTATTTTTAAAGTGAAGTTTCTCTCAATATTTTCACCCTTCAGAAGGAATCATTTCCAAAGTTTATCACAGCAACACAACATTGACATAAGATGTATGACTCCCCCCTTTTGGACAACACACAATATCAGGGGCTGAATTTACTGGGTTGGTGAAAAACTGTGCAAGGCCGATGAACAGACGTTTCCCAAGACACTATCTACCAGGTAGCAGGCCACGGTGTTTCTGGAGAGCTGAGATATGCAAATGAGGTGAGCTTTATCACTTCCCAGCGGCATCAGGGACAAATGAGGTAAGCCCTCTGTCTGCCCCACCACAAGTGCTTCCAGGCCCAGGCAACGGGAGGAGGGACCCAGGCAAATCCAGGTGAACTCTTTCGGTGGAGAAATGGGAGCCAGGAGCCTGGGGGTTGGTGATGGCTGGGGACAAGGAAACCAGAGTTTGTACAGCTAAGTAACTGAGGGGAGAAAGCAGTATATAGACTTCCAGAGATCTTCAGAAACCCCCTCAAGTGTTCAGGTAAGTATTGATGAACACTCAAGGTGGGGGAAAGAACCACTAAAAAGGAATAAAGATATAAATGCCCAGAGATGCAGGACTTCGAATAGGGCCTGTTCCCAACACTTAGTCTGGAAAACCTCTTTGTTAGAGTGTAAAGAAAGGTCTTGCCTTGGGAAAGGGGAGTGATTAGCCCTAGACAGAAAACAAGTCCAGCCTTGCCTACAAGTCTTAGAAGCAAGACTCCAAAGGAAGACTAGTGTAACTACGTCTAAAACAAAGACTGTGACTATCTTTCCAAAATATTCAGCAATGAATAAGGTAAATTCCCAGTGCCTGGTGTCCTATTAAAAATTACTAAGCTGCTAGGAAGGTGGAGAGTAAAACCATAAAAAGACAAAGTTAGTCGGTCAAAGCTGACACAGACCTGACACAGATGATAGAATTATCAATCACATTAAAACATTTATTATTACTGTATTCCAAGTACACATAGAACATTTATCAAGATAGATCATATTCTGTGTCCTTAAACTGGCTTCTATAAAATGGAAAAGATTTAAGGCCATAGAAAGTATCCTTCCATTAAATAGTAGAACTCAATTAGAAACCAGTAACAGAAAAACCTCTGGTAGAGCTCCCAAATTTGGAAATTTAAATAAGACAACCCCAGATAACTCATTGTTCACCGAAAAAATTCCAAGATTGAGTTAAAAACATATTTGAACTTAGTGAAAATGAAAACGTGGCATTTCAAAATGTGTGTGATGCTGCTAGAGTGATTTTGGGGGCAAATGTTAGTGCTAAATGTTAATTCTAGAAAAGAAGGGTCTCAAATCAATGATACTAGATTCCTCCTCTAAGGAACTAGAAAAGGATGAAAAAATTGAGGGCAAGATAAGTAGGAATAATGAAGATCAAAGTGTAAATGGTTAAATATGACAGGAAAATAATAGAGAAAATTGGTGGAACTAAATGCTGGGTGTTTGAGAAGATACATAAAACTGATAAATCTCTAGGCACTTTGATCAGGAAAATAGAGAAGACAAACTTAACCAATATCAGGAATGAGCAAGGTGACACCACTAGAAAATATACCGATATTAAAAAGGTAAGAGAATATTATGAAAAACATTATATCGGTACATTTGAAAACTTTTTTATATAAAATTGATAAATTCCTTGAAAGACACTAATTACCAAAATCACATGAAAATAGTGCTCACTTTGGCAGCACATATATTAAAATTGGAAAAATACAGAGGTAACATGTCCCCTTAACAAGGATGATATGTAAATTCATGAAGTTTTCTATAAATAAAAGGCATTCAAATCAGTAAGGAAGAAGTAAAACATTCATTATTTGAAGATGACATGATATTTATATAGAAAGCCCGATAGACTCCACCAAAAAATTGCTAGAACTGATATATGAATTCAATAAAGTTGCAGGATACAAAATCATTGTATGGAAATCCATTGCATTTCTATACGTCAGGAATGAAGCAGTAAAAAGAGATAAGGAATCACTCCAATTCACAACTGCATCAAGAACAATAAGATATATAGGAATAAACCTGACTAAAGAGGTGAAAGACTTGTACTCTGAAAACTGTAAGACATTGATGAAAGAAACTGAAGATACCATGAAGAAATGGAAAGACATTCTATGCTCATGGATTGCAAGAACAAATATTGTTAAAATGTCTATATTACCCAAAGCAATCTACAGATTGAATGCAATCCTCATCAAAATGCCAATGGCAGTTTTCACAGAGCTAGAACAAACAATCCTAAAATTTGTATGGAACCAGGAAAGAGCCCAAATATCCAAGGCAATCTTGAAAAAGAAAAGCAAAGCTGGTGGCATCACATTCTAGACTTCAAGCTCTATTACAAAGCTTTAATGATCAAAAATAGTATGGTATTGGAACAAAAATAGACACAGAAATCACTAGAACAGAATAAAACTCCCAGAAATGAACTCATGATAATATGGTCAACTAATCTTCAACAAAGCAGGAAAGAATGTGCAATGGGAAAAATACAGTCTCTTCGACAAATGGTGTTGGACAAACCAGACGGTTACATGCAGCAGGATGAAACTGGACCATTTCCTGCACCACACACAAAACTAAATTCAAAATGGATCAAAGCCTTCATGTGAGACAGGAAACCATAGAAATGCTAGAGGAAAGCACATGCAGTAACCCCTTTGACGTCGGCTGTAATAACTTCTTTCTAGATATATCTCCTGAAGTAAGGGAAATAAAACCAAAAACTATATAAATAGCTTTTGCACAGCAAAGGAAAAAATCAGCAAAACTTAAAGATAACCTATGCAAATAGGAGAAAATAATTGCAAATGACATATGTGAATAAAGGATTAGTATAAAAATATATAAAGAACTTAGAAAACTCAATACTCACAAAATGAATAATCCAATTAAAAATGGACAGAAAACCTGAATAAGGATTTTTCCAAAGAAGACATCCAGATGGGCAACAGACACATGAAAAATACTCTATTACTTATCAGGGAAGTACAAATCAAAATTATAGTGAAATATTACCTCACACCTGTCAGGGCTACAATCAACAACAACAACAGGTGTTAGGATGTGGAGAAAGGGGAGCCCTCTTGCACTGTTTATGGGGATGCAAACTGATGCAGTCACTGTGGAAAATAGTATGGAGTTTCCTCCAAAAGTTAAAAATAGAATTACTCAAGATCCAGCATTTGCACTACTATTTACTCAAAGAATTTAAAAAAAAAATACTGATTCAAAGGGACATATGCACTCCGATGTTTATAGCACCATTATCAACAATAGCCAAATTATGGAAATAACCCAAGTGTCCATCAACAGATGGATGGATAAAGAAGATGTGGTGTATATCTATCTATCTATCTATCTATCTATCTATCTATCTATCTATCTACCTATGGAATGGATTGGAATATTACTTAGCCATAAAAAGGAGAAATCTTGCCATTGCAATAACTTGGATGGAGCTAAAGAGTATTATGCTAAGTGAAATAAGTCAGAGAAAGAGAAATACCATATGATTTCATTCATATGTGTAACTTAAGAAACAAAAAAAAGGAGCAATGGTGGGGAAAAAGAGAGAGAGGCAAACCAAGAAACAGACTCTTAACTGTAGAGACCACACTGATGTTCACCAGAGGAGAGGTGGGTGGGGAATAGGGAAAACAGGTGAGGGGGATGAAGGAGGGCACTTGTGATGAGCACCAGGTAACGTACGGAAGTCTTGATTCACTATATCATAAACCTGAAACTAATATAACACTGTATGTTAGTGAATTGGGATTTAAATAGTTTTCAAAGTTAAAAAAGAAACATGCAATGTGAGTGCAAATTATTGCTGAGAGAATTTCAACATGGCTTAAAGAAATGGGAACTATATTCACAGATTGGAACAGTAAATATTGTGAGGATATTTGTTTTCCCCAAATTCCATAAATTAAATCCCATCAAAACACCATTGTGGTTTTTATGGTAGAAATCTATAAACTTATTCTATAATTCCAGTGGCAATTCAAAAGGCCTAAATGATCAAAACATTTTAGATAAAAAAAAATCAGAGGACTACACCTGAATTTAAGATTTATTATTAATAATCATGAAAGTGTGGAATTAAAATAAATAGATCAATGGAACACAATAGAGGATCCAGAACTAGACTCAGATATAAACGGACAATTTCTATTTGACAAGATTGGAAAGAAACTCAAGGTAGAGAGAATTAGTCTTTTATTAATGGTCCTGGAAAAATTGGTTATGGGGAGAATGGTTGTAAAAAACCCATAAACAAAAAAAACCTTAATGCACCTCTCATACTTGACATTAAAATAAGCTAAACTGGGGCGCATGGGTGGCTCAGTGGGTGAAGCATCTGCCTTTGGTTCAGGTCATGATCTCAGGGTCCTGGGATCAAGTCCTGCATCGGGCTCTCTGCTCAGCGAAGTGTCTGCTTGGGTTTCTCTCTACCTCTGCCCTCTGTGCACATCCCCCCTTCAAATAAATAAATAAATATTAAAACAAAATAAAACAAAACAACAAAACCTTCCAGGTAGAAGGAAGCATAGAATCCATTGAGCATCACCCTTTCTTGTAACAGGTGTGAAATAGCAGACACACAGAGGGGAAACGACTTTAACAAAAACATGTAATTTAGTTACTCTTCCCTGACAGAAAAATTAAGTTTCCCTTCAACACTTAAGTTACAATCCTAAAGAGTATTTTTTTCCTCTTGAATTAAGCCAGAACCACTTTCTCCGTAACAGATATATACTTGTCACATCCATTTTCATATTTTCCAGTAAATGTCAAAGTCCTTATTGTACATAACTTTTTTCACTTTTATTCTTTCTCTTGAAAAGAGACACTTTAATAATACATGTTGAGAAGTCATCCTACTTGTTTTTATAAGGTAAGGATTCTTAGTATCATTAGCCAAAAATCTTCACTTCTGATCCATCCATCTAATTTTTCAAAGAGAGGTTTCCCTCGGTTAATCGCCTCAGAAACAGACTGCAGGGTATTTACCCTTCCTGGGCACCAGTGCTCTTAGGGAATTGGGTGATACAGAAGTCTATCCTGGGGACTCCTTTTTCCTTTAAACTAGGGTTTCTGAAACTCTTTCTGCAAGTGTCAGATAGTGAATATTTTGGGCTTTGCAGTTACAACCCCTGAGTGCTGCTGGAGGGCCAAGGCTCCATACTGGAGGGCCAAGGCAGCCAGAATGTGGACAAACATGAGTATAGTGTGTTCCAGTGAGGCATTTCTCCAGCAGGTGGATGGTCAGACTTGGCGAGCAGGCTGTGGTTTGCTGACTCTTGGAAACTGTGAAGAACTCAAGAAACAGTAATCCTGAAAGCTGTAAACTCACAGAGTGAATACGGACGGTTATGTTGGTGATGGCACAGGGGATATCTATCTACAGGACCCACACCCTCCTAGGCCCTTCAAGGAGAGATCTAAAAGAGTTGGCCCATATATTCCTAAAAATAATTTCAGGGACGAAATGATCCTGCTTTCATTTTACAGATGAAGAAACTGACCCTTGTAAAATTATGGTAACTTCTCAAAATCATTGTGATAATAATCAATAGAGGGAAAAAAAAATCTAAAAAAAACCCCCAGGATTTTCTAGCTCTGAAGAACTGAGTTCCAAATAAAACCATTAATGCAGCCTCATTTGAAAGGCCTTGTAATGTTTTTGGTTCTAGAACATTTTGGCTACTTCATCCATATTAATCCTCCCATGTGACGGAATGTAAAGTTGAATTGAATCCTACCTGATTGATATAATAATGATGACTGGACACAGTAAGCCAACAGTGATCTCATTCTCAATAGTGTGTTAGGGGGTTAGCAACATTTTCTCTGAATATTTTCATGTTTGCTTCCTTCTCTCCCTTCCGTGATGGATCAGGGTTAAAAGTTTGATCATTAATAACCATATGTTTGGTACTACCTTGCACAGGTTACCTGACTGGTTGGAGTAACAGGAAGGACTCTAACTAAGGTTACCTCAGGGCTTGTAATTGCCTACCATGTGCTTGGACTGATCAAGCCCATAGCATCAGACAGCCCCTGAAATGGGGGCCCGACACCTTGGGGATTCTGAAATCAGGGGGTCCAGTGTAGGAGAAGAGAGCAGCAGGCAAGGAGAGGCAATCGAATATGACTGTAAAGAGGGAGTTTTTTGTGACCACAAACAAGCTGAGAGTGGGGAATCCAGGCAATCAATGGGGCGAGGTTGGAATAGCAGTAGTGAGTGATGAAGGATGTCAGTGAAAGCAACATTACTCTGATCTGGAGACTGACACAGATTTCTTTCTCGAGCAGAGCAGGTGTTCGCAGTGGGCCGTGTCTAAACTCTGATGTAAGTTTAGAGCAACGACCTTCTGTTTGCTGGTGTAATTGATGGTCTGATTGTTGGAGCAGGAGTGAAAGAGCAAAGCCTCAAGTAGAACTGGTAGCCTGTGTTCATACGGAGAGACCTTCCAAGTGGAAAGGACGCCATGTGTCTTGTTCAAAATATTGTTCCTGGCTTCCAGCACAGTGCCGGACACACAGTAATAATTTAAATACTTGATGAATGAATCATGGATGGATGGAAGTTAGCTGCTTGGATAAAGTGAGTGAAGCTGAAAGAATGTAGCCTCGGAGTTCTGCTTTCCCCTAAACAAAAGGACTAGGAAGGAGCTAGGTATCCTTCAGTTCAATTGGTTCATTTTACAAATAGACAATCTGTGTCTGAGGGTGATCAAGATTCAAGGCCAAGCTCATT